GCCGAGGTCTACACTCTTGCCCTGCGCGGCGCTCTTCCGATGGGCGGTCGGGCGCCGCGCTCATGGGCTGCGCTCGGCTCGGCGCTCGCGTCCTGGGCCCGGCGGGGCTGGCCTCGCGGCGGCGGCGGCGGCGGCGGGGCGGGGGAAGTAGAGGCCGGCGGGGGTGGGGATCGGGAAGCGCAGCAGCCGAGGCATCCGCCGCGCGCCCCGCCAGCCAGCCAGCCGGCCCGCCGGGGAGGAGGACGAGCGGGAGGAGGACGCAAACTTGAGAGCGGCGGGGCGAGGGGCGCGCTGGCGGAGGGAAAACTTTAATCTCCTCCGAGAGGGGGGAAGGGGGAAGAAGAACCCAAACCGGAGAGACACACGGAGAGAAAGAAAGAGGAGAAAAAAAAAAAAAAAAAAAAAAAGGTGGGAGGGCTCTGGGATCCGAACCCCGCGATCCGATCCGATCCGATCCGCGGCCCACCGCGCCGCCGTGAGAGAGAAAGTTGACCGGCGGGACGGCTTTCTCTCCGCGCGCCCGGCCCGCCGCGCCGGGCCGAGGTGTCCGCCCGTCCGCCCGTCCGTCCGTCCGTCCGTCCGCGCTCCCGGGTGGGAGACCCAGCCGCGCTGCCGGGTCTCGTGGGTCCCTGGCTCCCTCGCCCCACCCTTCCACGGGGACACGAAGGTAAAGCGTCGCTTCGGTTTCCCTTCTCTATCCTTCTGCGGCCACCGCCCAGCTTCCTTTTTCCTCCTTTTCCCCCCCTCCGCTGATTTTTTTTTTTTCTTTTAGGGGGACCCGAAAAAACGGAGTCTCTTTCCTTATGCAACTTCCTCGGGCGCCGTTTGCACGGCCCTCCCCCCCCACCCCCCCGCATCCCTCGCCCGCTCCTTTGCCACCAAAAAACGTGCATTTAAGATCACCCCAAGTGCCCAGGAACAAAAATAGATTTTTAAGAATTGTTCTAAGTTAAGGAAAACTGAGACTAGGAAAAGAACCCGGTTTTTTTTGGGGGGGTGGGGGGGTAGTGCGTCGGCTGGGATGAGCGCGTTGAATTTTCATTTCGCTTTTCGTAGACGCTTGGTTGTGGTGTCTTTACTGGCGTGGGGCGCCCGGGAGACCGTGTGCTGGCTACCTCGGTCGCGTGGATTTTTGCGCAAGTTTTTAGAAAAACACTGACTCGAGTAGAGAGCATTTCTCCGGAAAGTTTCAAGTGCAGCAAAATAGCCAGCCTGCAAAACTGGCCAAGGGGGGACCTCTAGTGGTTAAACGCATCTTAAGTTCGCGAGGCAGAGAGCAAAGTTTGGCCTTTACTTGTAGCTACGTAGTCCGTTTAGACGTGGAAGTAATTAGAGGACCTGCGTTAGCAGCCAGCGGTGAGAGAGGACGCCGCTCAGAAATAGAAGTTTTGTAAATTAGAAAACGAGGAGGTCTGAGCTTGCAGGCCTGTGATTTCTACTCTTCCTTGCTTACGTTACAGAAACCAAAACCAGAACCTTTTATTCTGAGATTTGAGATTGGTACTCCTTAGATGAGAAAATTTGTTTTATATTTGGCATCGTCTGGATCTTTCGTTGAAGGAATCATAGTAGATAGCTTAATTTGGAATGTTATGGAGAAGTCAAAATGAAACATGTTCTTAAAACTTTGCAAAAAGTAAAAAATTTGAAATTTGCTTTTAGTATGAGAGGATTATTTTGTTCTGTGACAGATAAAATTTCAGGCTAAGAAGTCATTCATTAACCTACATAATATGCCATAAAATACATAATATCTTTTCATTGTAAGAGTGTAACTTTGATTCACTGAGTAAAAAGTTACTTTGGGATACTTTGTATAATTTATGATTTAAAACACATGGATAAAATATATATATACATGAGTTACATAACTGTCTCCCAGTGTGTGTTCTGTAAAGAATCTTGATTTTTTTTTTTTTAAGATAAAAACTGGAGAAATTAAGGTTGTGTCAGATCATCCTTGTAACTGCCACCTGTCTGTCACACAATGACAGTGACCACCTATGTATGCCAGGCTGGTGTTGAACTTAAATCTTCCTGCCTCAGTGTTCCTAGTGCTTGGCTAACACTACTCATATTTAAAATGGGAGGTTTTTATTGCATGAATTTAGAATGTGGGGATGATGTGAATGACCCAAGTTAATTTCACCTCACGCAGAACTGGTTAATTTTATTTTACTGCACAGAGCGATGTGTTGTGGAATGATGGGTGTTGAGTTTGAATTGTAGATCGTGGGAGTGAAGGGCTTATGAGAGTGCTTTGCTTTTTTTTTTTTTTTAAATCAATGCTAGATCCTTAAGAGAAGTGTTGGAGGCACACAGCCGCTTTGAAGGCCACCAGACAGTTCTGTCTGCCTCAAGGTAAGAGTCACTTGTTGCTACAAAATTGCTGGGCGCTGCATTTGGCATCAAGGAGACTGTGTGATGGCTTTGGTAGAGAAAAACAAAACAAAAAACCTAAGTATGTGGGAGCTGCTTTGAATGTATGATCAAGTAGACAGCACGTGTGCTTGAAAAGTGAATGAAAACATAAGGCAAAAATGAGGCTGTCCTTTGGTCCTGTGTGTTTTTGGTGTGGGTGCATGGGGAGGCCAGAGAGCCACGGGAGTTGTTACAGTTACATCCCTTCCTGTATTGCTCTCCACACTTTTTTTTTTTTTTTAACCTGGTCTCTCACTGAACCTGGCTCACTGATTGGCTACATTGTTTGGCCAATGAGCTACAGAGCTCTCCATGTTACCACCCTCCCACAAGTGCTCAGGTTATGACCCAAACACAGGTCTTCATGCTTTGTGGCAGTCACTTTATTAACTGAACCTTCTCCCTAGCCCCGTGTTACTGGGGGGTGTAGGGGCGGGGAGTGGTTGAGACAGGGTTTCGCTGTGTAACCTGTAGACCAAGCTGGCCCCAAACTCACAGAGATTCACCCGCCTCTGCCTCAGGAATGCTGGGTTTAAAGGTATGTGCCACCAGTACCCAGCCATTTATTGGATTCTTCATTACTGGATCAGCACCTTTTTTTTCTACTGAAAGTATTTTTTTTTTAATTGAACAAGCGGGAAAACCGGAACAAAGTGGTTGTGAATTAATACCTAATATAGATAGAGATATACAATGGTAGGGAAGAAAAGAGAACCGTAAATGTCCCTACAATCCAAGGTACACTTTTGTAGCTAAAATTTATGACAGTCGGGGGGGGGGCTAATTAATTAACATGTAATTAACATTTAAGTGTCTCCTATGGATTAAATCCAAGGTCTTCTTCTGCCAGATACCATGATTAAGGGATAGATAGCATAGACTTACAAAGTTCTGAGAACATTTCTATGGGGCTATAGAGCTGTTGTCTGATAAATCTTTTTGGTCATCTTGAGGATACTGGTTGACCTCAAGGAAGGATCAAGGCCATTCCTCAATGGTGTAAGAAACACACAGCTAGCGTGTGTTTCTAAGTAGTGTTTTCTTCTATTTGCACTGTTTTGACCCTTTCCCACTAGCTCTGCTGCCTCATCTGTCTTGAGTATTAAAAACCTTGCTAATTATTGCGTGGCAGAGAAAAAAAGGAAATAAAAGTTAACTTTCCTTTAAAATTTTATTTATTATTAGTATTCCTGTTGTGTGTATGTGTGTGTGTGTGTGTGTGTGTCTGTGCATGTGTGCGCATGGTTGGCAGTTAGAGGGTGTCTTTGGAGTTATTTCCATCTTTATATGGGTTGTGGGGATTGAACTCAGGCTGTCAGGACTGAATGGCAAGTGCCTTTTTACCTACTGAGTCATCTCATGGGCCTAAGCCTGCCTTTTATGAGTAGAACTAATTATCTTCTTTGGGTCAGGTGTGGATTACCAATGAAGCTGAATAATGGCCAGAATAAAAGTGACTCCAAGCAGTGGCTTTTGGTCCTTTTCTGTTTGAGGGTTGTCTTAGGTAGTGCAGTTAGTACCACCTAAGATGTTTCAGTCCTTGTCGACGTGTGATGCTGCTCCGCAGACAGTGGGTGAGGCCAGCTACAAGGCCAGGCAAACATTAACCTGATTCCTGGGAGAGTGGGTGCTTTCTGGGTGGACAGTGCAGCTTCGGGGTGCTGAGTTGAAGACGGCGCTTGCTAGTCTTCACTTGAAGAGCCACTGTGGCTGTGCAGAGCAAGCTAGAGTGAGAATCAGAAACCTGAAGCCTGCAATGTCCTGTATCATCTTGTGTGAGTTATTGGGTCACCTTCAGCCTGGGTTGTTCCATCTGAAAAATGGGAATATCAACATTTGCCTTTTTTTGGAAGGGAAGTTCCAAATAAAGTAAGATTTTGGGAATTGTTAAGAGGCATGCAAGTGAGTGGTGGTCATTTTTTCCTTCCCAATGTTGCCAGGATTTGTGAAGAACAAGAATTAAATTGTTTAGGGGAGAGGATTGCCTTTGTAGTTTGATAGCATATATACTTGTCAAAAGTTTTAGCGGTGTCTTTCCTTTCTCTCCCCCCCCCCTTTTCTTTTTTTGAGGCAGGATCTCAGATTTGTAGCTCTAACATGAAAATCACTGTGTTGACCAGGCTGACCAGGAACTCTCAGAGTTCCTCCCACATTTGCCTCAGGAGTTCTGGGATTGAACATGCATGCCATCATGCCTGGTGTTGTCTGTCTTTTCTTCTTTAATAATTTTTTTTTTTTTAGATTTGTTACTTTCTATGCATAAGTGTTTTACCTGAATGTATGTCTGTGCACCACATTTGTGCTTGGTGTCCTCTGCAGTCAGGAGAAGGTGTTGGATCCCCTAGGCGTGGTGGTGAGTTGCCAAGTGGGTGCTAGGAGTCAAACTCAGGCCTCTGCAAACGCAGCAAGTACTCTGAACCACTGAGCCAACGCCCCAGCTCCATTGTCAAAACAACAACAACAACAACAACAAAAAATCCCACTGCCTTCTGAATGGAGGAACTGCACTTTATCCTGCTGCTGTTTACAAAGCCTGAACTTTGTCCCAAATGAATAGAAGGGCTAAATGTAAGAAATGTTTAAAAATAATGCTTACTTGTGGAAGTGGGAGGGTGAGGGAAGGGTGGATTGGTGTCCAGACAATTTGTTTACTGTGGTGTTATGGTGTGTCTGCCTGAATGAGAGGTGAGAAAGCAGAGTGGGGAGACAGTGATGGGAGTCCCTGGGGAGGTCAGGAATTGATTTCCGAGAATGACTGGTTGTAAGGAAAAGTACAAGTAAGACTTCCCCCACCTGTTTTCTAGACATCTTTGTTACTGTTTCTCATTGTAGCCAACTCTAAAATCCAGATGGGAAAGAGGGACACAGAGACGCATAGACACAGAGAGACACCGAGAGATACTGTGTTGTTATTTTCATCCCCGTGATACTAAGCATAACAAAACAAACCCTGACGTGCTCTGCTTTTATTTGTTTATTTCATTTCCTTTTATTGATTATCCAGTCAATGTCCTAAGGGTCTAAAAACTCAGTAGTGAAGGAGAGAAGATGTGCTTGTCCATTTAATTAATCCTAGAGTAACCCAGAGGTAGTTCTTGAGTAAATGCCATGGTTTTTTTGTCATTGTTGTTTTAACTCAATGCCTCTGGGCTTTTCGCCTGTGTGCATGACTGTGTGCCATTTGTGCCTGGGGAGGACAGAAGAGATCTCATACTCTCCTGGATCTGGAGTTAACAGATGGTTGTG